AAAAGGGACTTTACTGACGAGCAAACTTAATTTTTTGGTACAATTGTTGTAAAAAGGACTCTACTGACAAAAAAATTTTATTTTTGATCTAGAATGCTTAAAAAGGTACTCTACTGACGAGCGAACTTAATTTTTTGATACAATTGTCATAAAAAGGACTCTACTGACGAAAATTTTTATTTCTGATCTAGAATTTTTAAAAATGGACTCTACTGACGAGCAAACTTAATTTTTTGATACAATTGTTATAAAAAGGACTCTATTGACGAAAATATTTTTTCTGGTTCTAGAATATTTAAAAAGGGACTGTACTGATGAGTAAATCTAATCTCAAATTTAAGAATAATATAGTTAAAAGTTTCCATTAAAATGTATCTATATAAAAGACTCTACCTACCAGCTAATCTTCTGACGAGCAATAAATTATAAATCAATTTAGAAGCTTAAAAAAAGACTCTACTGACAAGCAAACTGAAAAATTTACTATGAATATTGAAAAAAGGGATTCTACTGACGAACAAACTGAAAAATTGACTTAAAAGATTAAAAAATAGGACTCTACTGACGAACAATCTTATTTTGTAAAAGGCTGGTGCTTTCCTAGTTTCTAAAGTACAATTCTTTATTATAAATTCTGTAACTTTTGAACCATTCGTTTAGTATGAATGATGTGTATAGGGAACTTGTTCGGAATGAAATACACTATAATATTGTTTAACATCGTAACGCCGTACAGCAACTCTGTATACTCTAAAATTGTGATAGAAATTAAAGGTCTTCTAGACAAGGCTGAGTTTCTAAAATACCATTCGTCATTATAAGTTATGTAACTTTTAAAGCATTCGCTTAGTATGAATGATGTGTATAGGAAACTTGTTCTAAATTAAATACACTATAATATTGTCTAACATTGATATGTTCTACAGCAATTCGGGATACTCTAAAATAGCAATGGAAATTACAGGTCTTCTAGACACGTCTGAGTTTCTAAAGTACTGTTCTTCATTATAAATTCTGTAACTTTTGAGCCATTCGTTTAGTATGAATGATGTGAATGGGAAACTTGTTCGGAATTAAATACACTGTAATATTGTCTAACATCATAATGCTGTACAGCAACTCAGTATACTCTAAAATTGAAACAGACGTTATAGAGTATATTATAGAGTAAAAGAGCTCTAAGAGATAGAAATAAAGTGCAATTTTTTATTATGAATTATATAACTTTTGAACCATACGTTTAGTATGAATGATGTGTATGGGAAACTTGTTCGAAATTAAATACACTATAATATTGTCTAACACCACAAAGCTCTACAGCAACTCTGTATACTCCAAAATCCCTTTCAAACACAAAACACGCAAAAAATCTGCTTTACATTGACTTGCCGACCGGCAATCAATTCCTACCGGCGTCTCCACCGGTCGATATTTTAATTACCGAATGCCCTAATTGAATTTTATGTAAATCATTTATTTCTATTCCAATCGTATTTATATTTATATATTATTTCGGTGGAGAGACTCATGTATATTCATCCATTCGATCGGGCTTTGTTTTCGTTTTGGGGGTAGTTGTATTATATCGAAATCGAATTGTACAAAAGTCCTCCACTTCACCCACAAGGGAATATAGCTAGTTGTGTTTTATTATGGCTTTTGTGGAGAAAACAATGGAGTTAAAAATTTATAAATGTATAGATGATTTTTTAATAGGAACGTACTCGGACGGTGGAGACGCCGGTTGTAATGGTTGAGTAGAGTTTGACTGTGGTTTTGTGGTTTTGTGGTTTTGTGGTTTTGGGCTATACCGAGTTGTTGTAGAGCTTTGTGGTGTTAGACAATGTTATAGTGTATTTGATTTCGAACAAGTTTCCCATACATATCACTCATATCAATCGAATGGTTTTGAAGTTATGACGTATAGTAAATGCATGCATTTTGTTAATGCTTCAGCAATTGTTCTATTTTGAATTGCATTTTGGAGTTGTTGTAAAGCACCATAATGTTAGGCAATATTATAGTGTATTTAATTTGGAACAAGTTTACCATACACATCATTCATACTAAACGAATGGTTCAAAAGTTACAGAATTTATAATGAAGAATTGTACTTTAGTAACTCAGCAGTGTCTAGAAGACCTGTAACTTCTGTTGCAATTTTATGGTACACCGAGTTGCTGCAGAGCATTATGATACTAGACAATATTATAGTGTATTCAATTTCGAACAAGTTTTTCATACACATCATTCATACTAAACGAATGCTTCAAAAGTTACAGAATTTGTAATGAAGAGTAGTACTTTACAAACTCAGCCGTGTCAAGAAAACCTTTAACTTCTGTCGCAATTTCAGAGTATACCAAGTTGCTGTAGAGCATTATGATGTTAGACAATATTATAGTGTATTTAATTCTGAACAAGTTTCCCATACACATCATTCATACTAAACGAATGCTCCAAAAGTTACAGATTTTATTATGAAGAATTGGACTTTACAAACTCAGCCGTGTCTAGAAGACCTGTAACATCTGTCGCAATTTTAGAGTATACGAAGTTGCTGTAGAGCTCATGATGTTTGACAATATTATAATGTATTTAATTCCGAACAAGTTTCCCATACCTATCATTTATATAAAACGAATGCTTCATAAGATACAGAATTCAGAATAAAACATTGCACTTTATTTATCTCTTTTTCTCTGTAAAAGTATCAACTACTCTAGACCTATAACTTCGGTTGCAATTTTCGAGTATACTGAGTTGCTGTAGAGCATTATGATGTGAGACAATATTATAGTGTATTCAATTCTGAACAAGTTTCCCATACACACCGTTCATACTAAATGAATGCTCCAGAAGTTACAAACGGTTAACCACAAAAATACAAACACTCGAGTAATACACCCTCACGTGTACGTACACTAATTTTTCCTCCACCGTATCGGTTTCGTTTCAATTAAGAACCCTTCGTAGGGCGTAAGGGTATCATCTACTGCCAGTTGGGTATTATTTGATCAACAAGGGTTGATTCGCCGATAATTGAAACGACCTGAAAACGACACCTAACTTGTTCTATGTCCAATTTACCATTTAACTGCTTGCGCCCTACTGTGACGGTGGAGAGATCGCTCCAAGAATTAATTCGGAAAATAAATTTGTTTTGTTTGGCTATTTCTGTACAAAGCGAAAGTAATTTAATTATTGACTAAGTGATGAGTGATAAGTGATAACTAGGTATAAGTGGTTTAAATTGAATCAAATTACGTGTTATATTGATACAGTTTTTTTTGACTAATGTTATTTTAAAATAATAATAAAAACGATACATTATTCATTATTCATTAATGTTTTTTTAACATTATAACTTTTTATGATATTTCTCCACCGTATTAATAATATTTTTCTTTTGTTTCAGGTATTTATGAACTTCATTATGAACGACTGACTTATCATCTTGTGGTGTTTTTCTAAAGGGACAAAACGCAAGTAGAATATATTTATTTAACGAGCCGATGGAGACGCCAAAATATTATATATATATACATATATAGATATATATATATATATATATATATATATATATATATATCTGTTAAATCGGCATCTGATAATTGTATTTTTTCACGTTACACTTAATATTTATACATTTAATTTACCGTAACGGTGGAGACCCACATTTATTGAGCTTTATATTCCATTTCTATATACGAAATGTTTCGATTATCATTTTTACTGAAGTTGAACATGTTACGTAACATTCCGGTGTAAAGTGTTTATTTGCAACCAAGGTTTATCCTTTTTTGAAACCGCAAGGACACGAAAAGTTTAATTAAAATCCTCAAAATCCTTAAACGTATTATACACAGCGTTTACTAAATAACAGCTTTACTTAATTTTTTGCCTGTCAGTAGAGTCCTTTTTTACTTTCCAGTTTTCTAACTAATTTGCTCGTCAGTAGAGTCCCTTTTTTGTTTTTTTTAAGATTAAAATTAAGTTTTTAAGGGGCTCTACTGACGAGCAAATTTAATTTTTGTCTAAAAATAGGAAAAACGAAACTTTAATGACGAGCAAACTTAAACTCTGTACTAGAAATTAAAAAAGGGACTCTACTGACAAGCAAACTTAATTTAAATCTCGAAAAAAAGGGACTCTACTGACGAGCAAACTTAATTTTAATCTTAAAAAAACCCAAAGGGGACTCTATTGACGAGCAAACTTAACTTTACTCTAGAAAAAAAACAGAAAAAGGACTCTACTAACGAGCAAACTTAATTTTAATCTTAAAAAAAAAACAATAAAGGGACTCTACTGACGAGCAAACGTGTTTTTACTCTCAAAAAATAGAAAAAGAACTCTACTGACGAGCCAATTTTATTTTACTCTAAAACAACAAAAAGGAACTCTACTAACGAGCAAACTTGATTTTAATCTCAAAAACAAAGAAAAAGAACTCTACTGACGAGCAAACTTGTTTTTAATTAAAAAAAAACAATAAACTCTACTGACAAGCAAACTTGTTTTTAATATAAAACACAGAAAAGGACACTACTGCCGAGCAAACTTAATTTTACTCTAAAAAGAACAGAAAAAGGACTCTACTGACGAGCAAATATAATTCTATTATAAAAAAAAAATAGAAAAAGGACTCTACTGACGAGCAAACTTGTTTTTAATTAAAAAAAACAGAAAAAGGGACTCTACTAATGAGCAAACTTAATTTTAATTAAAAAACAAACAGAAAAAGGACTCTACTGACGAGCAAATTGAAAATAAGCAGAAACTAAGCTCAAAAAAAATAAAAAAGGGACTGACGAGCAAACTTAAATTTGGCTCTAGAATATTTAAAAAGGGACTCTACTGACGAGCAAACTAACCAAAAAATGAGTAACAACGTTTCTATCATAGTCATACACCGAGTGCTGCGCCATTATATCCTTTACTCCACCGCCTAGTATATTGGCAATAAATAAACAATTTACATTTGCTTTTGAATATAGATAGAGAGAAGATTCCTGAAGATACTTTATCTTTAGAAAGAAGAGCTAAAGTTATTGCTGGCTTGAGGCGATACACAACCGGCGTCTCCATCGGCGTCTCCACCGTAATACATACTTTTCCCATTTTCATGGAAAAAAAAACGCCCATCGTATATTTTGTCGTCGTCATACATATATTTATATGTATATTTATATTTATATGCATAACTTAAGATTATAGTCGGGAAAGTGTTTTTTTTTTGCGAAACAAAAACAAGGATTTACGGATACGGTGGAGCGAAAAATGTGCACAAAACAAATACTAGTATCGATACATTTTGTAGGAAATAACATGAATATGTAGGAATGAGTAATTTTAGTTTGACTTGCTCGTCAGTAGAGTCCCTTTTTAAACTTTCTAGAGCAAAATAAATGTTTACTCATCAGTAGAGTTCCTTTTTTAATTTTTTTTTCAGGCCTAATTTTAATTTTCTCGTCAGTAGAGTCCCTTTTTTAATTTTCTAGATCAAAAGTTTATATTTGCTTATCAGTAGAGTCCCTTTTTTATTTTTTAGGCTTAATTTCTATTTGTTCGTCAGTAGAGTTCCTTTTTAAATTTTTTCAAGCTTAATTTCTATTTGCTCGTCAGTAGAGTCCCTTTTTTAATTTTTTTAGGCTTAATTTCAATTTGCTCGTCAGTAGAGTCTTTTTCTTTAATTTTTTTTAGGCTTAATTTCAATTTGTGCGTCAGTAGAGTTCCTTTTTTAGATGAAAATTAGGTTTGCTCGTCAGTAGAGTTCTTTTTCTAAATATTCTAGATGAGATATTGTTTTTGTTCGACAGTAGAGTCTTTTTTTATAATCTAGTTAAAGTTGGCTTGAATTTAATTTTTGTCTAAAAATGGAAAAAAGGGACTCTACTGACGAGCAAATTTAATTTTTGTCTAGAAATAGAAAAAAAGCGACTCTACTGACGAGCAAACTTTTTTTTAATCCAAAAGTCCTTTTTTAGTAAGTTTTTTTCGACATTTTAATTCGTTTGCTTGTCAGTACAGTTCTTTTTATTTCATAGATTAAAATTAAGTCGTCAGTAGAGTCTCTTTTAATTGTTCCAGTTTGATACCTAATAATCAATCAGTAATTAACATTTCCTTGTTGGCAGAGTCCTATTTTTTACTTTCATTGATTTTTATTTAACTAGCTCGTCAGTAGAATCCCTTTTGTAAAATTTGCTTGTTAGTAAAATCCTTTTTTAATTTTTAAAACAACATTTTTTGCTCGACAGTAGAGTCCGGTTTTTGTTTTCTATTTTTCCAATTAATTTGTGCGTCAGTAGAGTCCCTTTTTTATTAAAAATTAATTTTGCTTGTTAGTAGAGTCCTTTTTTTAATTTCAAAAAGAAAATTATAGTTTGTTCGTCAGTAGAGTTTTTTTTTATATTCTAAATTAAAATTTGCTTGTCATTAGAACCTTTTTTTATTTTTAAGATTAAAATTAGAGTTTGCTCGTCAGTGGAGTCCTTTTTTTTTAATAAAAATTCGCCTTGCTCGTCAGTAGAGTCATTTTTCTGAATTCTAAGAATATAAAAGTTTGCTCGTCAGTAGAGTCCATTTTTTCTTTTCAGAACAAAATTTAAGTTTGCTCGTCAGTAGAGTCCTTTTTTGTCTTTTCCGAGCCCCTTTTTAAATTTAGTAGGATTTGCACGTCAGTAGAATCCCTTGTACCTGCCTTCAACCAATAACAACAACAACCAAGAAATTCAATTACCATTTACTACCATTTGTGCAGCAATTTCTTCACTGCGATTTACCATATATTCAAATCCCTCATAATCAACTATCCCTCCACCGCCGTCGTTCATTAAAGTCCTCATCCTTACGAATAGAAATGTCTCCACCGTACGTCTACAATTGCAACGAGAGAAAGAGACAATTGCAAATACAAATGCAAATGATATCATCATCGCACAGCACAGAAAATGTTCGCTATTAAAATAAACACATTGGCATAGTTATCCTGCGAGCACGTGTTCGTGATCCTTCTCTGCGATTTCAGTAAAGCCTCCTCCACCGTGGATAGGATATTACTTGTATTTATTCTTCGCGAACTAAATAATCCTCGTGTTCGTGATTAAAACGCCTTGATTAAGATTTCTTGATCATATTTCATACTAAACGGGTTGCTCCACCGGCGGGAGTGGGAGCAGCGGTGGAAGGAGGTTGTAGAAGGTGATGGTTTTTTTCAATGTGTTTAAAGAGAGATGTTAGAGTTTTTGTTAAATGTAGTTACACTTTTTGTCTAATTGTTCGTGATATTTTATTTGTTCGTCAGTAGAGTCTTCTTTTTGGTTTTTTAGATCAAAAATGAAGTTTGCTCGTCAGTAGAGTCTCTTTTTTGTTTTTTAGATCAAAAATGAAGTTTTCTCGTCAGTAGAGTCCCTTTTGTGATTTCTAGATCGAAATTTAAGTTTGCTCGTCAGTAGAGTCCCTTTTTTGATGCTTTTTTTCAATATATTCAACTTATTTTATTCAAAATCTTCAAATCAATTGCTTGTTAGTAAAGTTCATTTCTATATTCTTTTTCAATAATATAAATTGTTCGTCCGTAGAGTCCTTTATTTTTAAAATTTTTTTGTCAAAATTTCAATGGTCATTAATGAACAGTAGAGTTCTCTACTGACGAGCAAACTTAATTTTATTCTAAAAAACAAAAAAGGACTGGTTATTTAGTTTGCTCGTCAGTAGAGTCCCTTTTATATATTCTATTTCGAAATCAAATTTTTTTTGTTAGTAGAGTCCCTTTTGTTCGAAAATTTTTGTTCGAAATTTCAATTTGTTTGTCAGTAGAGTCCCTTTTTATCTTATAGACCCAATTAGGGTTACTTGTCAGTATAGTCCCTATTTTCCTATTTTTAGACAAAAATTAAGTTTGCTCGTCAGTAGAGTCCTTTTCTTATTTCATAGATCAAAATTGAAATTTGCTCATCAGTAGAGTTCCTTTGTTCCTATTTTTAGACAAAAATTAAGTTTGCTTGTCTGTAGGGTCCCTATTTACCTATTTTTAAACAAAAATTAAATTTGCTCGTCAGTAAAGTCCCGTTTTTTCTATTTTCAGACAAAATTTAAATTTTAGGGTATAATTAAGTTTGCTCGTCAGTACAGTCCTTTTTTCCTATTTTCAGACAAAAATTAAGTTTGCCCTTTTTTCCTATTTTTAGACAAAAATTAAGTTTGCTCGTCAGTAGAGTCCCTTTTTTGTTTTATATTAAAATTAAATTTGCTCGTCAGTAGGGTCCCTTCATCAAATAATCCAACAAATTTAATTTCGTACTATCGATCGCTCCACCGCCTTTCAAAAATATTCCTTTTCCTCCACCTCGTGAGAATAAAAATGTTTTTATTATACAATATATATATATATATATATATATATATATATATATATATATACATACATACATAGAAGAAAGAACACGAGTCCTTTTTACATACGAGTCCTTTATTTTAGTATCAAAGGACCCGGAATAGCAACGCAGTAGGAAACATCGAAAACACATGTCGCCGAATTTCAAATCGTCCCCAACTCTCTCCACCGTAATAGTAATAGAAAAATCCCTTTCTGGCAACACTAATCGATAAAATATGAAATAGGAGAAATTTTTGAGGGGTAGTTTTAGTAAGGTAATTGTAATAATTCGTGAGAGGGAGTGAAATTTACTGGTTTTGCTATTTGCAAGTTTAGTAGACATATTGAAGATTAATATAGTTAAATAACATATTTAACTATACGAGCGGAACGTCCTGATGAGCTCGCTTAAATATAGACTTAGGTATGGTTTTGTATTTTTATATGGAACTATTAGGTACTTTGTTTAGTTTCTTAAATATTGCTCGTGAACGGAAATAAAATTATGTATTTTTGCTATTTGAAAGTTTAGTAGACATATTGAAGATTAATTTATTGAAGGTACAAGTTTGTAGTACGAGCGGAACGTCCTGATGAGCTCGCTTAAAACTATAATTTTTGATTCAGATGCAGAGTTTTGTACTTTTGTATGGAACCATAGGGCACTTTGTTAAGATTATTGTTAATTACTCATAAGCAGAATTAAAATCACCATGTTTTGCTATTTGCAAGTTTAGTAGACATATTGAAGATTAATTTAGTGAAGGTACAAGTCTGTAGTACGAGCGGAACGTCCTGATGAGCTCGCTTAAAACTATAATTTTTGATTCAGATGCAGAGTTTTCTACTTTTGTATGGAACTATTGGGTACTTTGTTAAGATAATTGATAATAACTCATGAGTAGAAATAAAATTAACTAATTTTGCTATTTGCAAGTTTAGTAGACATATTAAAGACTAAGTTAGTTGAATAAGAAGTGTGTAGTAATGTAAACTTAGGTGTGGTTTTGCATTTTTATATGGAGCTATTAGGTACTTTGTTTAGTTTATTAAAAATAATTCGTGAGCGTAAAGAGAATTAACAAGTTTTGCTATTTGCAAGTTTAGTAGACATCTTGCAAATTAATTTAGTCAAATTACAAGTCTGTAGTGTGTATAGAACGTCCTGAAGAGCTCGCTTAAAACTTCATTTACAACTATTTATGAAGAGTTTTGTTTTTTTTATATGGAACTTTTATGTACTTTCTTAAGAAAATCGATAATAACTCATGAGCGGAGTTAAATTATGTAATTTGAAAATTTTGAGTATTAAAAGACATGTTAAAGGTAAATTTGGTGAAGTGTACAATTTATAATGTGAACGGAACGTCCTGAAGAGCTCGTTACAAATCGAAAATACAAATATTATAGCATTTTGTATGGCAATTTTAGGTACTTTGTTAGATAATTGATAATAACTGGTAAGCGGAAATAAAATTAACAAATTTTAGTAGTTTACTCTTTTGTAGACATATTAAAGATTGAGTGATTCAAATTGGAGATATGTAGTATGAACATAACATCCTGAAGAGCTCGTTAAAACCTGCAAATACTAATTTTTAGCAATTTTGTGTGAAAGTTTCATGTAGTTTGCAAAGATTATGAGTAATAACTCGTGAGCGGAAATAAAATTAATTAGTTTTTGCTATTATAATATTTAGCAGATATACTGTGAATTAATT